CTCATGACGTGCAGTCTGTCTCGATGCTTCAGGAGAATGTCATAATTGCCGCTTACGACGTCCACAGATGCCTATTCTGCCTGTTTTATCGCCGCCAGACGTGGATGACTTTGGCTGCAATCGCAGCAAATCGCCGAGCGACCTTCGAGTGGAGGTGCGTCTTGACACCGACTCGGATCGGACGATGGGCTCGACTTACACCTCCGGCAGCCAAATTGTGGGCTGCGTCGTCATAGACTCGCCTCGTATGATTTCTGCTCGATGTAAGTGTGCTTCTCGACGACTCCATTCAGATTGTTCGGTTGGAGAAACGGTTGTTCCGCAGAAGGCGAAGTAACTTGTTTTGCATTGTTAGTTAATGTTAAAGTTAATTTCGACAACTAGCAAATTGGCTAACGGTGAAATAAAGAGAATGCTCAATTTTCGCCTCCACAAAAGCCATTCTCATTCAAGCTGGACTAAGATTCCACCTTACCTCTTCATCCCATCAGCTCTGCCAGAAGCATTCCAACCGTGGATGTCACTCGATGCAATATGGCTCCAGCCATATTGTGTTGCTCGAAAAGTCCAAGACAGATTTGCTCTTAGTTGAATAGAATGTCCAACCGAAGCTGGTGCACCCACGGCTCCTAAGAGTTGAAACAAAGCTGCTAATAATGACCAAATCAGTAGCATAGCGAGAGTAATGGTGTGGACGACTCTTTAAAAAAAATTACTCACTTTAGTTAGCTTGAGGTGATTTAAGGACTGGCAGCCTCGAAAGTTATGCGTATGAAATTTAAGTAGCATACTTGCTTACCACATTAATCCCAATAGACAAAGTTAGTTTGGAGAGGCCCGGCTTGCCCATAAATTCACTTTTTTTCGATGTGAGTAGTTTTAGAGACTACTGGTAATTCTTTAATAGGAAATTGTTCTCCTTAAGTCTCTTGATAGTTGAGCAATTAAAATAAGGTATGTCGTCTAGCACATGTTTGTTCAATCCGCAATGCAACTATGACAATTCGATTTAGTAGGGGCCTGGCTCGCCTTGAATGTCACACCTGCCCTGTGACAGACTAGCACTGGTGACCGTGTAATGGAGGAGCAGCGTCATCACAATGCACACAACTC